GGAAACTTAAAAACATATTTAATCAATTGCAAGAGACCCTCACTAATTCATAGTAACTCTCATTGTCTAAGCATTCGGGGCCTCCTGGGAAAGCAGTAAGATGTCTATGCAGACATGACATAGACTTTTTTCATTTACAGTATGTTTGTTTCCCTTCATCTGCACTTTTGCAAAAGTTAATCACAGACCTGTCAGGCATATGACAGCCAACTTACTGATAAATCAGAACAGATAATAGCTTTTTTATTTTTTTGATCAAACAGAACTACAGCTGCACAGGTTGTAATTGCATTTTGTAACACACTCCTTCCCTATTTCTCTGGATTTGGTGTAGACTTTGCAGGACATAAATCTGTTTGGGAGGTAAAGGACTTTTAACGAGACACTAGTATTTTGAATACTTATATTTCACTGCCTATTGCTTTTCAAAGCTTGAAAATATGATATATTTCCCTGCTAACTCTAGTCCATTTCCATTCCCCCCCTCCCCCTCTCTTCCCTTGCTCCTAAGGGAGCTCATGCCAACATGGCTTTGTTTCATTTGCTGTTGTGTAAGCCAACCAGCATCATTGTTGTGATCAGCAAGAATTTGCCAAATGCTAAGTATAAAGTTTGTTACTGAAGTTGTATAGTAAATAAGTACAGGAATGTGAAACCCCTTTGTAGGCTCTGAAAAAACTAATGACTAGTAAATAATTGCTAGTGACTGAAAGTTTTTGACACTGAGAAGAAATGCTTGCATACACTCTTTGGCCTGAAAATACACTGAAACATTAGGAAGCCTCATATATTTTTTTAGAATTAAATTAGGCATGTTGAAAGGCACCCTGAGTTCAATTCTCATCTTTTTATGATTCCTTGTCGATGACCATTCTGAGTGACCTGAAGAACTTCCCTGACATAACAAACTTCACAAAAACAGCAGCGTGGGAAGTAACAACTAGGGGTATGCAAAATGGGCCTTATTCAATTTGGATTTGGATTCAGCCTGAATTGGGGACAGTGATTCAATTTGTTGATTCGGATCACTGTCCCTGATTGGAGTCGGCTGAATTCAAATCTGAAGATTCGATGCTGATTCGGAGACTCAGTGATTCAGCCATAGACACAGCTTTAAATGTTTTTTCTACGTACCTCAAGATACCAGGTGCAGCTTATGAATGCTGCGATGGTGGGGCAGATGGAGTGTCCCACAGGAGCATGGGGGGCTCCTTGCATGCTCAGCAGCGAATCCAGAACTGGACCGGAAGTACTTCCAGTCAACTTCCGGGTCCACTGGGGATTGGGTGGGAGGGGGCCCTTGCTTCCCCTCCGGCTCCGTGATCAGCTGTAGGGGGATCCCGGGTGCCCCCTCAGATCCAGGAGGCACCAGTCGCTGAGCCAGCGTGGTAGTGGTAGGGCCCCCAGCATGCTCACCAGAGGATCTGGAAGTGGACAAGGAGTGCTTCTGGTCCACTTCCGGGTCTGCTCCCGAGCACGCTGGGAACCGCCCACGTTCATGTGGGACGCTCCATCTGCCCCAGCATCTCAGCATTCACGAGCCGCCTGGTACCTTGAGGTATATAGAGAAAACATTTAAAACTGTGTCTATGTCCAAATCGTCGAATCTTTCCGAATCTCTCCAAATTGATTCAGAAGGTTCTGATTCGATTCGGAGAGATTAAAAGTTCTCCTGATTTGATTCGGATTGGAAGATTCAGCCACCGAATTGGGCCAAATCTCTACCGAATTGAATCAGGGACCAAAGCTTCGTACAGCCCTAATAACAACAAGAGAAAGATCACATTGTGACAAGTCTTGCCAAAAAAAGAAAAAAAAAAAAACCCTAAGAAAATAATTGTGTCAGCAGAAGACCACACACTGCCAAAGGGCTATGAACATGTTTAACAGCCAATAGCAAACAAGATGTAAAAGCTTTTTTATGAAATCTGAGTATCTATAGTTTTTCATTAAGTTATGCTATCTATAGAAATGTACTGAAGAACCCATGTATAATAGTTTCAAGGACAGATTTCTCCACATTTACTCTGCAAAAATATGTTGATCAGGTATAACCTGAGATAAATAGCTCATTCCTGGACTTTGCAGGGTTTTGGCCCTGCATAGGTATCTCATCACCCTCGGTGTCTGATTGGATGGTTAATCTGCATGGAAACTCACCAGTGAACAAATTAAATAGCAAACCTGCAAAATATTACCACACAACAGCATGCCCTCAGCTGAAATCCACAAAGGTTTTGTTTTGACAGGAGGTACAAAGTCTTTTAAGAGGAATGCATTAGGCATTCTTGCCAGCATGCACATGTTTTGTATAACTTGATGTGCAAAACTGTGATTGACATTTATATTAGGATAGGGAAGACACAAGAACAACATTTGTCAGTTCCCTCAGTAAAGTTTGCTGTCTTCCATACTTTCACTCAAGATAAAAAGAAAAAAAGGGAAAAAAGTCACTAAAGACATATGACATTACTTCCAAAATATTTACCACATCATATACACCTTATAGTCGAAGCTCACATTAGTAAACCACAGGACACATTTTCTAAAGACCTCAATAGACATAACCAAGATCAGATTTTCAAATGATTCAGATCCAGTTACAGTACCTAACTGTATGCTGTAATGGCCAGATTTTCAAAAGCATCCCTACTATTCTCTATGGAAACCACTAGGCACTGGACACTTACTATCTAGATACTTGGTTTCAATGTGTTGAGGCTCCATGCAGATAAGTTATATGAAACCTCTGTGAGTGATGATGCAAGATCAGGGGTGGGCAATTATTTTGGGCGGAGGGCCACTTACCGAGTCTTGGCAGACTGTCGAGGGCCGCATTGGTAGCCCCACCCCTTGACAGGTGCCCCGCCCCCTGGTTGCCATCTCGGGATCAGCAGTCCCGCTCTCTAACCCCTGACCTTTGCCACCAGAAGTCCCTTCTTTTACCCCTGGAAGTACTCCTTTGAGCAAGTGGTTTTGCCATCTCGGAACCAGAAAAATACTAAATTATATTCTAAAATGCGAACATCTACAACATTATTTTAATTAAAAAATATATTTTTGTCCTGATTAACATGTGTTTGTGTAGTGTACATAAAGCTGATTACACAATAACTTCAAATGAAGTCTTACTCTTGTATGTTGTGGGGGGTGGAGGGCATGGGGGCATGAGTATAGGTTTGTGGGGGCCTATTGGTGTGTGGGTATGTGCGGTGTGGGGGAGGGTGTTGGGGGTCTGTGTGTGGGGTGAGGGAGCAGGGGGTGTGTGGAGATGTGGGGGGTGACTGGGTATGGGGTTTGTGGATGGTTGGAGTGTGTGAGGGGGTGTGGGTGTGGGGGTCTGCTTGTATGGCAGTGCAAGGGGGATGGCTACACGTGTATGGTGGGGTGCACATGTGGGGCTCACCATATGAACACCCACACTCTCTCCCTCTCCCTCCCTCTCTCACTGTATGCACGCGCACATGCGCGCGCGCACACACACACGCGCGCTCTCTGTCCCTCCCTCACTACACACATACGCACGTGTACACACACATGCACATTTTCTCTCCCTCCCACCATCCCTCCCTTTCTTGTTGTACACGCACACAGACTCCCCCTCCCTCATTGCTCTCTCTGTCCCTCTCTCCCCCTCCCTCATTGCAGGGACATGCACCCGCTCCTGGCCCCGCGGTACCGGCACAGGCCCCATGCTCCCGTGGTCCTGCGATGCCGCCAGGAGCCATGTGGTGCTGGAGCAGCAGGCTGGCATGCAGGGAAGCAGTGAAAGCTGCAGCAGGCAGAGGCCTCCAGTTAGGGAGGGTGGGGATTGGAGGGGGCTGGGAGAGGGGTGGGGCCGGGCTGGCCTTGCTGCTGAATCCTGCTGGCTTTCCCTGCGTCCTACTGCCCCCGTCTCCTGTCATCTTTGACTGGCAGCCAGGAGCAGATAAATATCATTAAAAAAAAAAAAATTTAGGGGCCCCCAGGCCGGATAGAATGGCCTGGTGGGCCAGATATGGCCCATGGGCCATATTTCATCTGCCCCTGGTGTAATGTCTGTCCCTATCTTTGCGGAAGGAACACATATATCTTCTTTGCAGTTCCAGTCTGTGGGCTTCCAGGTGGAGCATAAGGTATTACTTTTGACTTATGAATCCCTTAACCATTTGGGACCAGTCTGTGAAAGAAACACTGCTCTTTGTAATGGACATATTTTTGTAATCAGTGGAAACATTTCTGCTTGGGTACCCTCTGTTTAACAGGCAGGGGAGCTGCCATTAGGGAATTTACATTGTGTGTTGAGATGCTGCAGTGCAGTCTTCTTACCTTGGTGCAAAATACATTTCATTCTTTCATCTTCTGGCCATCAGAGCCCATATCTTTCCTCAGGTCTTGGGGAAAGGAGAGAGGTGAGTTGAGTGTTGGGTTGTGTATATTGTAGGCTGCATTGATTGTCTCCCCACCTCCACCCCTCCCCCTCTGGTTTGGGAAGTTGCTCTGTTTGAATTACATCTTTGAGCTTTCTGTCATGACAGGAGTCTTTGGATTGCCATAGCATAAGACATGATAGAAAACACTTTACGCTGCTGCTTATATTGCCCTTGCTCTGGCCCATGGAGATTATAGATCCCAGCGCACAACCTTGCTTTCCAGATGCTCATGGTTATTACTTAGCAGCAGCTCTTGGTATTTGTAGGCTCTGCATTCAATATTAGAGTAGCATTTTAGTTTTTTTGTGGTTACCTTTGTTTTCTGCAGGCTGCCCTTTTTGTGCCTTTGGATTGTGGCACATAGGAGAACTCCAAAAAAGGCTGAGCTAGTGAAAGCATTCTTATTGTCTTCTAGAAAAAATGAACAGTACAACAGTTCATATCTACTCTTTTTTGTGTACCATATATCTTATCCATGCAAATGATTCTCCCTGGCTTTTTGTTTTTATTTGAATTTAGATTTATAGTTAGGATTATTTTCCCTTTCAAGGGCAGACTATTCACCGGTACCTTCTTTCATTTCTTTAGCTGCACCTCCCAAATTGAAGGAGATGAAGAACCAAGAGTCTACTGTGGGTCAGACACTAGTGCTCAGGTGTGAAGCCAGTTCAGATTATCCTGCACTCAGATTCAAGTGGTTAAAGAATGGAAAAGAAATAACCAAAAAAAACAGACCAGAAAATATCAAGATCCCCAAAAAACAAAAGTAAGTACAACAATTGTTTTGCAAACTGGGCTGAGAGAGAGAAAGCGGAATTATTTACCAGACTACAAGCACTGAGATATTATTAATCTCAACACATGCAACCAAGTGCCATAAAATATGGAAAGAGAGAATGAATGGCAGTTATCACTTTTTATTTTCACTGGAACCTTTATTCTTTTATTACAACAATATCAAAGTCTCGTTTTTATCTCATAAATAGTATTCTGTTTCTATTCCTGTTATTGTTGGCAGTCTTTGTTTTAATTTGTAAATCTTGGGCACAGACCATTTTAGACTTCTGGCATAAGTGAACATGCCTCATGCTTGTTTTCTGCCATCCAGAACTGGAACCATCCCTTAACTTGTCTTCAGGGATTTGAAACTTTCATTGTCTAGGGATACAGTCCCAGAAGGAGCCACCCACCTTCTGCATAGCTCTGAGTGGTTTGAGTATTCATGACCTTTACTGGAGGCACTCGGAATCTTACAGGATGGTGTCTTAGTCTGGTTAATATCAGGTGAATAGGGACACCTGGAAAAACCATGCTTCTGCCTGGATGGAAATGCTCGTAATAAGTGGTTGCCACCAACCTGTAAGGAAATAATTTTTTTCTGGTAGAGAAGCTAAGTAATAGTCTATCCTCTGATGCATAGGGAACAACTTTGACATTCTGTCTTCACAAAGATGTTTAGGCTTAAAAGTGCCATTTTCTACATTGTCTGTCTCTGTTCTGTAGAAAGGAGTCATTAAAATATGCACATAAGCTATCTTGATCCAAGACAAAAATTCCATTTACTTTACAGCATCAGATGTGGAGATGGGTATTTACAAATAATAACTATTTTTTTTAGTGTGTTCTCCTAAGGGAGAGAGAGAGGCCAGAATTTCTGCCATACTATCTTCAGAAGTGTGTCACCATACTTTTTGTCATGTCTCACCTCCTTGACCCAAATGAGGGTCAGTAACTGTCCTGGATAGTAAACTCTGTCAAGGAGATGTTGTAACCATGAATAAAGCAGAGTGTTCATTTTTGCTGGGTGGAAAATGTTTTCCCAACCTATGAAAGTTTTCCAGATGTCAACACTTCTACTGTTTCACGTCCCAAACATTGTCTAGGAGAGGGTATATACTTGTGAACAACTTATTGTGGGATAAAGGCTGCTGCTTTACTGAACATTTGCTCTGCAGTAACTGCCTGTATGCACACTTTTATCCCATGGTAAATGAAAGCTAACCTATGATAGCTTTCCCCACACTCACTGAAATCTAATTTTCCATGGGTTAGCTTCCACTTTCCGTGGGGTAAGAGCATACACACAGGCAGCTACAGTCGGGTAGTTGACACATGGCAAAACCCTGGTCCTTCCTGACACATGGTCTTCTGCATGTGTCTAAAGTAGAGCACATGGGAGCAGCCTAAGATTTGTGTTCTTTTGATGGAAGATTGTGAAAGGCTCGGCTGAACTAATGGCTCAGCTGAAATTTGTTTGTATGTTTATTAAGTTTGTATTATAAATGTACGTAGGATAGACCCACATTGGAAAGCCAAGTAAAAAAGCAGAAAAATAACAGCGCAGATACATGCATGAAAAGACAGATTTATTATATATGCAAATTATATTAATGAAGGAACATGAGAAATCTCCCAGCTCAAGCTAAATGAATACCAGTGGTTGATATTTTTTTATTTTGTGTGATTTCATAATATAAGACAATACATTAGGCAAATATTTGTGTCATTCATATGCTGCTATATTGTTTGCTAGTTTTAATATGGAATTTTTATAATTATGAAGTATGGAAATGTGAACTAAAAGGTCAGTAAGCTGTCTTGAATTACTGTAATATCTTTTTTAAAGGGCAAATGGCTACTTAAATAGTGCATTATATTGCTACAGCAGATGAAATACAGGAGCATCATCAGCATTCACCCTAGTATAATATTATTGATTTAATCAATCCAGACAGTTCAGAAGAACACTTTCTCCATATTAATAATGCCTTACTAAGTTTGAAAGCAGTATCCAACAGACAAAAGTGACTTTTGGTAATTTCAAATTTAACAGGCCAGCTCCTTGCCAGACTACAGAATAGAAAACACTAAGTCACTACCAGAAGGAAACGTCTCCCACAGGTGTGGGATTTCAGAAACATTTTTTAAGAAAATGTAAAATGATCTGTGGGGTAGAATGGGGGTGGTGGACAGTTCAGCCTCCTGAGGAAATAAGCCTCACCCATCCCACACCCTCTCCCACAAGCATCAACTGCAGAAATTAGATGGTGATAATGCTGTGGGAGTGGTGCCTCTTGCATTGCACTCAGGACTTGGGTTTCCAGTGTGCTCAGGAGCAGCAGCTTAAAGCACTGTCACCCAACTCTGACCTGACAGCCTCATTTCTGGGATAGATGCATGAGGTAGAAGAGAGTTTGGACTGGATTTATTTTTTCACTCAGTAAAATGATCAAGCTACCAGTACCATGTAGACATATGCTCACCAGTTAGCTACTAAATAGAAATGTTAGTATCAGCTTTGTGTCTGCCTTTAAAATGGCAAAGGTGAGTATGACCAGCAGATCACAGATTAGATACCAGTGCCAACATGCTGGCATGGAAGAAATGAATACACAGTCTGGTACTGAGTGGTTATGATAGTTCCAGATACATATGATTAGTTAATAATATCTGTTTAAGTGCCACAGACACAAAGCATTATCTTGGCCTGTCAGTTCATTTTAAAGGGTTCAGGATGTGATACTTTTTGCCTTTGCATAATTGCAGAAGAACCTCAAATGAACATTTTGAATGTCTTGCTTCATCAGAAATAGCTCTTTGAAATGAGCCTGAATGGCCTCTGTCCCAAGCTTGTTTGAAGGCCAGCAGGCTGAGTAATAGGAAAGACTCCTTGGTTGCCTTGCTTTCAGTGAGTGTACCAGTTAATGTTGCCCAGAAATATTTGGCTCCTGCTTCTTCCCTTTTCTAATTGCAACATTTAATTTTCTTTCAGTGTATTTCAAAGCCATTGAGAACATTTTTATTTATTTATTTATGATTTGGGGTTGGGCTCAGCTGCCTAAGCCACCTGCAGGAAAAGAAATTTCTAGGGGTAGTTATTGTTGCTACTTCCCCTGCAGCAAAACCACTCAAGGACCCCATGTAGCAGCACCTCAGTATTTCAGACACTTCTGTTTGCTTTTCTTAAATGTCACAGATACCGGGCAAAAAATGCCAGGCAAAGAACCATCTGCCATGGTGAATTGAAGCACTCAAATAAGCTGGGCTTTGATGCACAGTATTTTAACACAAGATATTTTCCTCTTTTTTGAGTATGCATACAAGATCAGTATTTTTTTGGATGCTGTTTCATTTAAACTATCAATGAGCCATGGTCTGCTCTCAAAAGTTTGAATTTGGTCCTGGTAAGTGCCTATAATACCACTGATGCTATGAATATTTATTTCCTTTCTTATACTTGGAAACCATTACTCTGGATTTTGTACCTGAGAAAAATAGGAAAATACCAGGCATATTAAAATTTCACAGGTAATTTGGCTTTTTCCCCCCATGTCCCTGCTTTCTTCTTTTCTTTTTCTTTTTCTAATCCTGGAATTACAGTTTTTGAACTCAATTATTTTTTCTGGTGGAAGTTATTATCACTTAAGTCATAAGAATTAAACCTGAAGTGCTGAGAGTTTGTTCTTCTCTGCTACAAGGGTCTCTCTGATTGTTCTTACTGATACAGAGAAAAGAAAATATACCAGGAAGCTGAAATATGGACAGTGTGCAAACATTAGAGTTGAAGCTGTGGTGGGTGTGTGAAGGGGATCTTTTGAAACCCTAGTTTTTACAAAGCTATATAGGCCTGCATCATTCATGTCCAAGTGGTAGGCAGCCCACTTTGTGCAGGTTTCTGACTTGGAATGAACTGCTGAGTTGTTTGCTGCAGTTTTTGCATCACAGGATGCTGCTTTCCTAATCAGCTGGATTTCCTAAGTAATCCTGCGCAGCTGATTGAAGAATCAGTGCCTTTTGAAATAAAAACTGAAGCAAATAGCTTGAGCCAGCTCAGTGGTCCTACACGTGGATGTCAGGAACGCAGTCCTGTGAAGTAGCTGGGTCCTACTGTGACCCCAAAATGCTGTACCTTTGCAGTGCCTGACCACTTTTGTCAGTTTTCTGTTCTCACTTCCCCTTTCTTTCCTACCCCTTAGCCCCTCAGAGCCACTATCTACATACTGTGTGAACTCCCACCGGGAAGGGGGAATCAGTGAATATATAGGTCCATTTCTTGGCTTCATCACAGGAACCCAGCAATGGTCCATCTAATCAATACGTTGATTTACCTCAGCTAAAATGTCAGCCCTTGTATCAGTCTTCCTTCCCTACAATAGTGTCCAGCTTGCCTACAGTTTCTTCTCTTTTAAGTAGCTTTGGTCTAACTCCCAGATGTATCTGGCAAAGCATGATGTTTTTTGCTAAACCATGGGTGCTGTTCTGATACCTCCAAGCAAGGGTACCTTTGTATGGAAATCCTTGAGCTGCCTTCCAGCAGCTGGTAAATACCTGTGAAGTTTCCAGGCCCTGTCAAAGGGACCAGTAGGACCAAAAGAAGCACTGAATAGCTATGATAATAGGAGTAGAGTAGCTAGAGTCTTTCACCTGTTATTTGCCAACACCACTCTAAATCCAGCCCAGATCAAAAGTCATTACTATTTGGTTCCCATTGTTCAGTGCCTTAAGTCTTGGTTCTGCAGTGACCCCACCAGTGTAAAAACCACCACTTCACTTGGCATTAACTACAAACCGCGCTGGTCTTTTAGTTAAGAGCTCAGAGACCTTGTCCTTCAGGATGGTCCCCCAGATGAAGCGGTATGGCAGCCTGGCAAGGCATGGTTAGAAAACCTGTGTGTATTTTACCTGTACTGTTCTTGTTCTGTGGCTGAATAAAGAACATTCAGGACTGTCATGCCAATATCCCTTGTGAGCATCTATTCTAATGATGGGTTAGGCAGTAGTAATCTCAGCATCCCAGGACCCAATTCCTTGTCATTTCTTAGGACCAGGCAACATGTCTTATGCAGCTGGGGTCCCACCAGAAGACATTAGAGTGTGCTCCCACCAAATTAACAGGCAGGCAAAAACTCTGCATTTTAAAATTTAATCTTCACACCTTGAAAATGGATTAAATTACATGCCTCTCATGGGGAACAGTATGTAGCCTTATGCAAATTGTTCTGCTGCTGCCTGTAATTTTTGGTTCATGTTGAACAGTGATTTACTAGTGGGGTTGCAGAGGTTGTTTGAGAGTATGGCTTGTTCTTATCTCATGATTATGTAGTCAGACGTTAGAAACTACAATACTTGAACAGAATTCTGGTACTAGCAACATGACACTCTGAAAGGATAATGCTGTAATCTGTCTTCATGGTCTCTGAGTAGTTGATCTTTCAGTGTCTTGAACACAAAAGGTTTTTTTAAAATATTTCCATTAACAGCAAAGACTTCTTTTTAGCAGGAAGATATAAACAAATGGTTTTTGTTTCACTTCATGAATGTGCCTGGTCTTCAACAGCCTGTAAGGAAGGGATTTTACTTTCTTCCATACCCTTAGTCTTTGTTAATTAACCTGGTTGAGTCACAGAATAGAAGATGGATGTCTTCATTTGGGGAAAAAATGCATTAAGTAATGCAGTGATTTATTATTTGGATAAAGGATGCATTATGTGTCATTTCTGATTCTGCAGGAAGTACTCAGAACTTCACATTTACAGAGCAACGTTGGATGATGCTGGGGAGTACACGTGCAGAGTGAGCAGCAAATTAGGGAATGACAGCACCAAAGCCACCATTATCATCACAGACACCAATGGTATGAGATACATATTTATTTGACTGTTGCTTTGAGAAAGGTCTTGCATTAAAACAGCCATCGGGACAAAAGGGCTTGCAGGGAATGAGAGCTTTGTAAGGAAAACAGAGATGAAAGTGCTAAAGTGGTGATAGTAAAAATATATTCAAATAAATTAGTTTTGACATAGCTGTAACATTTTTTAGTGTAATTGGCCATTACTGCACGAACTGAGAAATTTACAAAGTTAACATGCAGAGGTCTGGACAGCATTCAGGGCCCCAGTGTGCCAGGTGATGTACAAACATATAATGAGGCACAGGCCCAGTACCACTACCAACAGGCATTAGTCCCATTTATACAAATGGGTAACCATGGCTCTGAAAGGTTAATTATTGACATAGTAAGTATGTGGTAGAGCTGGCAGATGGATCCAAATAGTCCCAGTCCAGTACTGTAGCCATGCCCCCCAACCCTTATCCCTTGGTCTTATCTAGGTAATATTGGTAGGGCTACAAATTTGATCTGCTCTCCTATCAGACATGCTTCAGTTGTCCTGATCACTGCCATATTAGGCAAATTATACAATGCAAGTTGCATGATCAGCATTTGGAAGTTATAAATATTCTTTGCTTCCTGAAATCTACTATTCATCAAACAAATCTACACGGCAGTACCTGAATGTAGATTTGTTTGAGGAATAGTGGATTTCAGGAAGCAAAGAACATTATTGAAAGTAGTTTGAAAGTAAAAGTACTAGATTTTTCAACGCTACTTCTTACTTTATTTTTAGGACTAGCTACAAATGTTTCTGGCAGAATTCAATTGGTTCTTTCGCTATATAGAAACCTTTTAGTACTACTATCTTTGGTTATGAAAATGTGGACAGGTTGCAAGTTGAAGTCTGCTTGTTGAATGTGGTATTTGCTAATGAACATGTTAACTTTCAGACAGGTGGTCTATTGTAAGAAGCAAACAAATCGCAGCAAACAACAAACAACTTTTGTGAGAAAAATGAGATGTGTTTGAAGTTGTCATTGCAATAAGAACTAGGCTTTAGGAATGCATATTTGTTCCACACTGTGCTCTGAAACAGTAGGTATGTGGCACAGTAACTAGAAAATGAAACTAATCTTTGCTGTCTTCATTATAACTCATCAGGCTTTTTGGTTAGTGTACAGTAGTGTAGAGTAATTATTTAATGTACATTCATATAGAATATTGGTATGCTGTTTTAATTTGCATCAGCTAAAGAATACTGAAAACAAAATTCTAGTACTAAGGTTTTGTATTAGGCATATAATGTTATAATCATATGTCAAGTTGCTGATTTACAAGATCAAGTAATGAGTTTTTTTTTTCCCCAGAATTATTATTATAAACAAAAGTCAATGACTATTTTTGATTTTTGATTAGCTTGTACACTTGTTTGGTTCTCACAAAAAAAAATTCTTGCTTTATAAATACTTATACAGGAAACATGTTTATCATTTCCCATGCAGCCTGAGTCAGAACTTGAGCACATGCAAGGCAAAACTAGAGACAAAAATAAATACAACATGTATGGACATGGGGACATCCCCCATTTCTTTTCTACACAAGGAATGGTAAAACGATTACGGAATGTGTGTGGGACCTCATTCCTAGACTTAAACTCATTCCTTTCACTTCCAGTTTGGTTATTCTGAATGACAGAGAGGCATTCCTACTGCAGTGAAACAAGATCTTGATGTTGAATTACCATGTCTGTAAGCAATGATATGTGCATTTGTGTGACATGTAGAGTCTGTCTGATTTTTCTGTGTCTGTATGTATAATATAACTGAGGTAAAACAGAAGCCTAGACACAAATCCCCTTGGACTGGAATAAAGCTTGGACCTCTTCTAAGCTTTACATCTGGTCTGAACAGGAACCATAGATCTAAGCCTATCAGATATTATGAGGTGATATTCAATAGATAAAAAATTCATTATGCCTGTCTGATGCCTTCTCCTAAACTCTGTCTCTCTCTAACAAATGAAACCTCTGAGCTGCTTTGAGCAGCTGCTTGCTGCTGTTTAAAGTGCAGCATGTGGTTGAAATGTTTTTTCTTTTCCCCCAAATGTGGAATTTTCTACCTGAAACTAAGGGCAACATGGACAACATCTGCTGGCTTAAAAGCAAAGGTTCCCTAAGGTCTCGGAGAGCAGAACCCATTCATTGAACATTAACAACCACTGTAACAGTGACCTTCTCACCCCTTCTTCCTCTGTATTCAGTGACCTCTCCCCCTTTCTAGCTTAATGGTAGATTTGGGATCCAAACTCTGTAATGAGCCCTGAAGGAGAGCTATTACTCAGCTCTCATGCTTATCTGTGGTCTTCAACTTGCATTATTAATGAGGATAAATATTAATATTTAGCTTCTCTGTACCTCTTTCTACCTTAGTATACCACTGTCATTGGAGAAGCCTGCTAGCACCCCTCTGTTGTAAGTCAGTGAGATCTAGAGTAGCCTATGTATCACTGTGTGACATCCATGTATGGAGGCTGAGTAGAATTGATGCCTCAAGGTTCATTGCACAGGCTGAATCCCTGACTCGCTCACTGTTGGTGGGTATTGATGGCAGGTAGAGACTAAGGCAGCAGTGGCTAGGAGTTGATTTGTTTGTGCCAGCAACAGCATGTGTAAAAGTGACTGAGAACCATTGCTTTAAATATCTACTTAAATAAAATTTTCACTGCTGGCATCTCTGTGTTTATACAGACTCAGTTTCCCAATCCCGTATTCTTTTTCATTATATTGTAAATTCAGTGATAAAGAATAGCCTTACATAAGTAGCCATGGTGGTAGAATGTGCAACCTTAATTTGGTCCCCTCACACATGTGTTATGACAGTCCTTTATTATGTGATCACATGCTATTATTTTCTGTAGAGCTCCTCAAATTTAATAGATGAGGACTTAGAGCCTAATTTAAAATAAAACTGTGACAGGGGGCAGACTCCCAGGCCTGGTCACAGTGCTGGTCCACCCGCCTATCTTTGGGCGTGCCGCCCGCCTTACTCTTCTCCCATGCCTTGTTGTAAAATAATTCGGATTTTAATTAGGCAGGAGGCTGCCCATTGAGCACCCTGCTGTTTGTGGGTAGTAAATGCACGACTCCTACCTTCCCTTTATTGTGTCCCATGCCTCACAGATGGTTCTGTGAGTTGTGCTATGCTCTGGCCTGAGGCTGGGCCCAACTCAGCACAGTATTAGGCCTCTCTCACGCTGCCTGTTCAGGGCCTCACACATACTGCCCCTCTTGCTGGGGCCTCTACCACTCTCCTGCTCTCAGCAGGTCTCTGTCACTCGTGCCACTTATCAGGCCACATTCACCCTGCCCTGCTCCTTTGAGCAACCACGTAGGTCATCAGGCTTGTCTCTACTCTCCTTGGCTAGCCCTGGTGCAGCCTTTTGGGCTTCTCCCGCAACCCTCATCTGTGTGGTGGCCCAGCAATTAACTAAACACTGGGCTAACTCTGCCCCTGGCCTCTCACCAGGTAACCCAACACACTGGTTTCCTAAGTGGGGCTAGTGACTCACCCCTTCGACTCGTGGCTCTCTCTATGATGCCTCACTCAGCCTCAAGCACCTGAAGGCTTACTTGGGTCTCCCCACTCACCCCCGTCTCCCTGGGGCCTCAACACACTCGCCCCCTCTCTGGGGCTCTCCATAGTCGCCCCCACTCTGGGGCTCAGCACATTCATCCCCTCTCTGGGGCCTCAACTTATTCGCCCTCTCCCTGGGGCACTGGGTTCTTCCATCCCTACAGGCTCACGTACCACTCTCATGGGCGTGCCTGGCCCTACTCCCCTCCGATATTATTAACCCACTGGTTGTGGGGACTGGGATTTTGAGGTGCCCCTACCCACCTTTCACTGGGGAGGTAACTGGCCTGGCATTTCTGGGGGACTGTCTCACCACAGGCAGCCCCACCAGACCACCTTTCCCTGGCAGGGTGCAGTTTTCAGTCCTACCCAGGACCAGGAGTCTCCTGCCATCCCCAGTAGCTCCTGCCTTTACCTCCAAGATGTTCCTTGAGCAGCAGTGCAGCCAGGTGTTGTTGTTTCCTCAGCTGCTGGCAGCAAACTGCTGCCCCAGCCCTGAGAGGCAGGATCTTACAATGGCCATCTCATCAGGGCTGGCCTGCAAACATCTGCTGCCTGCTCTCCTCCTTAAGGTGGCAGACACCAAAGGTGCGCTGCCACCCACCTTCCCTCTTAAAAATGGTTCCTGGGGCAGGGTTTCCCTGCTGCTCACAAAGCAGGCTCACTCAAAAGCCCTTAAGTGGTGAGTTCCCTACTGGTACTTGCCACACACCTTCCCTCTAAAAAAAATAACTACCCGGGGGGGTCTCCTGGCTGCCTTCCTTGCAGGCACTTCTCCAGCCTGCTGCAGCCCACACTAACTAGTGAGCACTTCAGTTGTGCTGTGCCACAAACATATTCAAAGCAAAGTCCCTGGTGGGAACCCCAAGACTTACACTTCTTCCAAGCATTTGGGAGTTACCCTTGGTCAGGGTCCCTACCTTTCATACTGACAGCTGTGTAGGAGAAGACTGCCAGCTGGGAAAAGTGTCCTCAGGTCTTTGCTAGAGAATGTGTATGGTTTGGTGTTCAAGGACTGCACTGAGTGTTCAGGAATAGCTATTATCCATCCCACCTCTTTCTGGAAATTCACCACATACTTATCAGATATGTGGCCTCACTGCTGACATCTGTGCTTTACATGATATTTTATTTTCTTAAATGTTTAAAATATCCCAGGCGCACATGACATGAGTATCTATCTGAAAACATCCACAGCATTCCAAGTGCCTGATACATCTGCCATTTAATTCTGTCTCCTGTAATCTAGATTGCTGTAATATTCCCAATTTGGTTGCCCTGGCAATTAGTGCTCAAAAATGGGGCTATTTGCTTGCTTTATGGGACAGAAGCAAATGTGTCAAGTTAAGCCCACCTTTTGCAACCTGTCCCTGCTGTTTAGAAAGCCAG